GAACCCTGCTCCCCTCCCCCCCACAGAGCGGCCAGCTCTCCGACCCGCAGAGAGGAGGAAACAACAAACCAAACGGCACAAACAAACGAGGCAGCAACGGGACTGTGAGCGGAGGAACTATTGCAGCCACACACCCCGTGAACGGGAGCTGAGGCGAACCCTGCAGCATCCCACCGCGGCAGTGAGCGAACGGCTCCGGGCGCCCATTAGAGAAGACAAAAGACCCCGGAGACGCGCACACACCCGGGCTGCCGGACATTTCTTAAGACTGCTTGAAAAGGCAGAATTTCTGGAGGACCCAGTGGCCAGCCGGGAAGTTATTCCACGCCAGGCCCCTTCCGACCAGCAGTCTGAGCCCACAGAGGGAGCAGCACCCACGTCCGGGCAGACCGGGCGCAGAAGAGTGTGCCTGAAACCGGAGGCGCAGGGACTACATCCCGCTTCGCCATTTGAGAAACGGGACATTTCTTCAGTAAAAACTGCCTAAAACCAGCAGAAAGCTCCCCAGAAGACAGAGATGGCTCCTGAAGAGCCAGAGGGAGCGGAGAAGTTCACCCAAGATGTCAGTCAGTCCGAGCAACACAGTGTCCCAACGCATACGACAAATTAGAAACAGACAGTAGGAGTAGAAGAACCACACGCAACCTAAAACTCCTCAGGAAAAGAACACACAAAAAAAGAAAACCACTCCCCAGATTGCAACGACAGCAACTGCAAGAACTTCTGAGCCTTCCAGAAAGAAAATTTAAAATTGCCATGATTAAAAAAGTGATAGATCAGAAAAGGAAATTGAGTCCTAAAGAGGGAAGTAAGAGAAATGCAGGAGATCAAAGAATTAAGGAACTAAAGAACTCTGGAAAAGCAATGAAAGCAGAATAGATGAAATGGAAGAACGAATAAGTAATCTTGAAGACACAGAAATAAAAGAACCAAAACAGAAAAAGAAAGAGAAGTACGAGGGAAAAGAATGAAGAAAGACTTCGGGAACTATCTGACTCCATGAGGAAAGGAAATATAAGAGTTATAGGAATTCCAGAAGAGAAGAGAGATGAGGAACAGAGAAAATATTCCATGGATATAATTGA